TACAATATACAAATCCAATAATGCAACAGCAACCAGTACCTCAACAACAGCAACAGCAGCCACAACAACAAGGACAACCACCTCAAATGGCAGTTGGATATATGAATGATCAAACATCAATGATGATGTCATCAGCAGGTGCTAATGCACTACCTCAAAATGTCAATCGACAACCAGGTGCAACAGCTGCAGTTAAAAGAAAATTAAATGATACAACTATGTACAGTAATGAACAAACACAATATGGAGCACCACCTAAAATAGCAACTCAATCAACAGGTAAAATTTCAATATACGAAAAAAAAATAAGTTCTATTTTACAATTATTTGTTTAGGTGGCTCAATACCTCAATATCAACAAAATCAAGTTATAATGCAACCAAATAATTATATGCAACAAGCACAGCAACAACAGCAGCAACAAGCACAACAGCAACAGCAACAGCAACAGCAAGTAGCTCATGCACAAATGTATTCTCAAGGACAAATGTCTTCAGGTCCTTATATGAATAATCAAATGCTTGGAAATCCAGCAAAGTAATTTATTAACACGAAAAAATTTTCTTATCAATTAAGAATTTTTTAAATTTAGTATGATGCAACAACAACAACAACCATCTGTTTATCCAAATATGATGAGTAGTCAACCACAAAATATTTATAATCCAGGAACGGGTAATCCAACTCTTAATCGAACACCAAATCAAACACCTATGTCAATATCAAATCAACAATGGCCAAACAATCAAACAATGAGTGTTGGAAGACAACCACAGAATGCATATAATCAAGTAAACATTCTTTTGTTCTATTAACTTCTCTATTCCTATATTCGTTTAATTAAGATGATGCCACCTGATCCACAACAACAACATTATGTTCAACAGCAACAACAACAACAACATTATTAATAAATCGAATATTGTCTGATAGATTGTTTTCATTTTGTTTATTTTTACTGTTTTCTTTTTTGACACAAATACATTTAAATATTAATACTTTCTTACTATTTGTGTTCTCCGCTAAGCGTCAATAAGCAGCATCTATATACATATGTTGTTATTTCCAATCTATATTTTTTGTTTGTTTGCTCATTGTTGCATCATAGAGAAAAAAAAAGGTTTTCTTTTTAAATGTATATATCAAGCTTTATTTATTGTGTTTATCAATATATATATATATATAAAGAAAATATCTCGATATGAGAGAAAGACGATTGAGAAAAATTCTTTTATTTATATTTTTCATCAAAGTATCATCCTTAATTTATTTTCATAAATTAAATCTAACTGAAAAAGTAAAAACTGGGATATATAATAAACAATTGTACTTCTATATAATATCAAGTAATCATAATGCTGGACTAGATATAATAATAATAATAATAATAGTTTTTTTACTATTTCTTCATAACTTTTTTCGGTTTTTGTGCTCGTTGTGCTTCAGTTTTTTCATTTTTTGGCATTTGGTTTATTTCTTTGATTATTTCATCTGACGGTCGGATATCAGCTTTAAGTAATTTCTGCATTTGTTCCAAACAAATGTTGTTTTCCTAGAAAGAAAAATAAAACATTTTAGTTTTAAATCAAAAAAAAAGTAATTCATTCTATTACTTCGACAGTATTTGATCCAATACAATCGCTTGGAACAATTAATTTCAGATTTCTCATATAAGCATCATTAGCTGTAAATAAAACACATATGTTTCCAGCAAAACCAGCTAAAATTATTGTTTCTGCATCTAAATGATTGAGTAAAATATCAAGTGGAGTACAATAAAAAGCTGAATGCTTTGGTTTGAGAACAAAATCTAAATATTTATAATATATTTTCTAACAAAAAATTAATTAATAAACTTTACAATCATCTGGACCAGGTTGTAATAGTTGAGCTAATGGTTTACCAGGTTTATTTTCGTTAATAACATATTCAATAACATTATGAAAATCTGATGTCCATCTACCAAAATTATCGTTAACATAAACTACTGGTATACCAGCTTTATGTGCTGCTTCTTTTAATTTAGCAATACGTTTGCCAATTTCTTCAGCTATTGGTAATAATTCTATAAAAATCAAAATATTATTCGATAGATTAGTAAATAAATTTATTATATCTGACCTTCGTTTCCTGGAAAATCTAAATGATTAATAACATCAATAAGTAGTAATACTGTATCATTAGAATCTGGGACCATGCCATGAAGATCGTTTGATTCAGACGCCATTCGTAAAATCTGTGAAAATAATTGTGTTTATTTGCAAAGAATGTTCTCAACAATTTATATACAACTAGGCACGTGGCAAGAAAACGTGAGCTTGCTTGACTGAGACAGACTCTAAGGACATCTGTAGACTACATATATCTTAGCAAAGATGGAGCAATATGGGATCATTTTTCCTAAAAACTTTGATCAAAAAAAGTAACTAACAAAATTCAATATTAATCGAATAAATAAGGCGCTTTATTCAGTTTAAACGAATATTTATTTCTTATTTAATGTCAACTTCTGATGAACATTCTTCTACATGTCATAATTGTGGTACAATAAATACAAATCGAACGATATGCATTCAATGTCAATCGGAATTACCTATACAAACATCTGGTAATATTCCACTACAATTATCCGATGAAAATAATGATCAACAAATACCATTGATTCATCAATTTCAAAATTTATTCAATAATGATTTCGATATTCAATCATTTAATAATATTTTATTACCAATGCTTATTTCACAAATACAATTCGATCTTCCACAACATCAGCATCGGCATCGTCGTGGTAGACCACCACGACGTATTAAACGTATTACTCATTCATCACATGTACATCGATATTTACCTTCACTTGATATATCACCTTTTCAAACTATTAATACTCCGACATCTCTCATACAACTTTTAAATATCAATGAATTAGTACCTGGACAAGTATTAAATACTCAAGTTCAATCAAATATGGCTCTTGTACAAATACCATTACAATTATTTAGTTTAGAATCAAATAGAGAAAATTTCAATTCAGAAATGTTAACACAATTGTTAAATGAAGATCAAGATATTTTACCTGTAACAATAAATGATATTAATCAATTACCTATATTAACTAGTAAATATTCGTATTTTTCTATATTTGATATATTCAAATAAGATTTTAGTGACTTCATCAAATCTTGTAATCAATCCATCATGTGCCATATGTCTTGAAAATTTCGAACTCTTATCCGAAGTTAAACAATTACCAATATGTCATCATGTATTTCATATAAATTGTTTAACAGAATGGCTTCTTCGTCATGGTAATTGCCCAATGTGTCGAACAATAATTTCATCCACTCAACAAATACCAATCACAATATTTAATGATCAATGGATGCAACAATTATTCTTACGAACATTTCAACAACAACAACAATCTAATACTATTGTTCCATATCATCCAGTTAAAATGGCAAATCCATTACAAATTTCATTAGATACAATAGAGTCTAATCATTCATTATCGTATACTCCTCAATTACCACGTTTTGATTCATCATCAAATATGGAATAAAGATTGATCCTTACCTTAATATGTCTAGAAAAACATGTATAAAAGAATGAATTTAATAAAATAGGAACTTTTGTTTTAAGTTTTCTTCTTGTTCTATATTTTTCACACGTTTTCTTTTTGTTATATATCAGTTCTGCGAACACAAAAATATATAATAGAGACAAATAGTTCATTTCATCATCATAAACGATTTTACGAAAAAAACACGAAACATTTAGGTGCAATGGTGCATGAAAATAAATATATAGATATATATATATGTATAAATAGATTCAATCAAAGGATGTTGTTAATGATGATGAAGATGATGATGACTGTAAGAGAACAGTATTATAATGCAGTAGAAAACAGCCAAAAAAAAACGAGAACATTTGCGAAAATACAAGATGTTCAAAAACTAAAATTAAATATACACAGAGAGAAAGAAGAAAAAGCAAAAGATAGAATAGGCGGCTCACTGCGAGATGTACTGTAAACATGAACAAAGAAGATATTTAAAAAAAAACAAAAAACACAATATTTGATCGTATCACTGTCTATACACTCATAAAAAAAAGAAAGAAAGAGAATACAAGTCACTGTTCTTTCAATGAATATTTCTTTTCTCTATCTGAGTGTTAACATGATATAATTATTTTAAAAACAAAATAAACAATGCTCTCATATATATATATATATATGTAAGTATATATACATATCTAATTATGGCCAATGAGCAGATAAATGAATTGTATGTGTTTGACCTTGAAATTGTTGTTGTTGTTCAGATGAATCATTAGCACTATGTTGTGATAAACTATCTTCGGCATCATCAGCAATATCATCATTTCTTCCATCCTCACCATTCATACTGTGTATCAAATTATTAGTTAAAATTGATAAGGAATTCAATTGTTGGGGTGATTTTGTTAATGAATGATGAATTAGATTTGTATTACGAGATTTTTGATGAACTTTTGCATGACGTTTACGTTCATCAGATCGAGCAAAACGACGACCACATGTATCACATGAAAATGGTTTTTCTAAAAAAAATATTTATTTTATTAATCAATTTTATTTTTTTAGTTTTACCTCCAGTATGCGTTCGGATATGTGTAGTTAAATGATCAGATCTTGAAAATGCTCGAGCACAAATTTTACATTGAAATGGTTTATCTCCTGTATGAATTCGTATATGTCTAGATAAAAAAATAAAAAATAATGAAAATTATTTCGTATGATTTATACCTTGTTAATTCATCTGATCGGGAAAATCTTCTTGGACAATTTTCAAGTGGACATGAAAATGGTCTTTCATGTAATGGTGTTTTCGATGGTCTATTTGTATAAGTTTTTGGTTTAATAAATTGCATTGGTTGACCATTTACACCCGATGTTGGATAATCTTGTGGTTCATCTTTAACACTAGATGATGTTATAGGTACTTGTAAAGTAAATGTATTTGTTGTATTTGTTGTCCAATCATTTTGTAAAGTTGATTTTCCATATGAAAGACCGGTACCATTTATATTTAATGTTGGAATAAAACCATTATTTGTTGTTGATGGTGGTTTAACAAATGAGTCATGATAGGACGGAGGTTGTTGACTTGTTCCATATTGAACATAATGAGATTGATCAACATAATTCATTGTTGTTTCTGATGTTGATGTTGATGATGATGGTACTGTTACAGAATTTGATACTGATGATTTACTGTTCGATGGACTTATATTATAATCTGTAACACTTGGATTTGATGTTAATAATGTACGTATTTGATCATTAACATTTGATGTATCATGAACATTATTATTATTTGTATCGCCTAAATTGGAATTTTCGGCTAATGTTTTTGATAGAGATGATGATGAAGATGGTGATGGTGGTGATGTTGATATATGTGAAACAGGTTTTTTCAATTGAAAATTTAATTGAAATGGTTTATTTTCATTAATTAAACTACGTGGTAATTGCATTGTTGTATCGTCATTGATATCCGATGTGGATGTTGACGATACATCAACAACGTTTGATAATGTTGAATTATTATTTATAACTATTGATGGAATAGATGACGATGATGATGATGAAAGTTCATTTGAAGAATTTTGATGGGATGGTAATATATCAATAGAAGACGAGGAATCTGATAATGGTCGAGGTAGTGATGGTGCTAATGTCTGAGAAAGTACTGAGACACTTGATGATTGCGTCTCTAAACATGTAAAAACATTACGTATTGTTATTTTGGTGTGAGAGTAATAAAAGAAAGAATATATATGAATAGAATGAGATCGATTAGACGTTTTTGATATGCACTGTCAAATCAATAGATGACCGCCTATGTGTATAAATGAGAATGACTAATGTTTTTACTGTAGAGCACGTTTATTTGATCATATGAATGAATAAAAAAAGACTTATATTCATCTCTAATATCTTTTTGAAAACTTCGAAGAAAAGAAAAGAAAAAATCGGTACGCGCCATTATTTTTAACATAGAAAAAAAGAAAAGAAAAAACATGCCCATATCGAATCCATTATCATTAATTGTTTCCTCAACATTTAGTAAAGATTCGAAATTCTATTTCAATCCATTTACTTATAAATTTAATTTAAACGAACTTAAACCATCTATTGGTGAACCATTTTCTTATTTTACACAAGCATCATGGACAATATTTACTTCATCTATACATAATAGTATTGGATCAAAATCATCAGACATACCTGTTCTTAGTTCGTCAACGGAAATAACACTGAATGAACGAATGATTACAATTGAATGATAATGACGGATAAATGCTTTTTTTTGTCTCTCTCTCTCTCTCGCTCTGTCCCTCTGCCTCTTTTTCTTTCTTTTCTTTTTTTTCTCTTGTTCTCCTTCTTCTTTTCGACTGGTGCTATGCTACTTGATGATGAAACCTTTTCTTTTCGATCGACCCAAAAAAAAAAGGAGATGTAGTAACATCAATTAAAGTAGTAGAAACGAGCGAATCGTCCTCGTTGTGCTAAGACCTCGTGTCAACAAAAGCAGCAAGCTCAGCGCAAACACGCCCTTTTACAATTCTTTCTCTATCGCAAAGGTGGATTATACACTTGATAGTAATAGGAGTTCAACGAAGACGAAAGAAGTTCGAGGATTTCCTTTTTTTTTTCTTCATTCGGATGGTGATCGATCATTTAAATCCGAAGACGAAAAAGAAGAAGAAGAAGAAAAAAAAGAATTTAAACATATTCTCAATATGATAATCAAAAGATAATCATTATCTTATCTTCAAATAAAGACACATTGACAAATATTAACATGTTGATGACACAAAAGAGAAGTAAAAGAAGAAAAAAAATTAAATTGACAAATACAATATATTACTTATAAACTATTTGTTATAAGAAATACATATTCATTTCAAATAAGATGGAAGATAAGCAACGTTATCCATCATCACACAAAACTACTTGCTTATGTTGTTAATCATTATCTATATCAAGGTTTTCTCTGTCTTTCCTATCCTCACAAAAATAACATATATATATATATGACTTATGTCTTGATATAGTCTCTAACAAAACATAGATCAACTCTATCTGTTGTCTATTTATTATTCTGAACTGATTTGTTTTTTGTTGTTGTGTCCTTTTCTGTTTTTATTAATACAATTATCCATAAATACAAAACTATATCAAACAAAAATAGATATTCAAACATATTAAATCTCTCTCGCGCTATTCTCTACTAAATCTGATGACTGACAGGTACGTGATTAGAATGCTAACTTTCATCTTTATTATAAAATAGAAGAGAATATATATATATATATATAATACAAGAAACAAGGATGAATGGACTCGATGAAATCATATTAGAATATGTACAAATAGAAGAAGAAGAAGATAGAAAAACCTTGAATATGATAGACATATACATATATACACTTGACAACTACTAGTGAAATGTTAGATAACATAAATTAACTATATCGACATCTGACATATCCTTATAACATTCATTGTCTAACTGTCGTTACAATTATATATACTCGATTACACTATATTATTGAGAAGAAGACGAAGAAGAGAAAATAACCGGTAAATATAAATGATAGTTTTAAAAATAGTTAATAATATAATACTATAACGAAATGAAAACAAATAATTGTTTTTATATGTAAATATTAGAAGAATTTAAGCATATTTTTAGTTTTTAATTTAATAAATAATCTAGAATGTGTAAAAAGAAAAGAAAATAATCTTACCCGATAATGTTGGTGTATGCATAGAAGATGGAATTTCATAAAAAAATGTTAAATTTTTTGTACAAGTATTTGGTGTATTTAATACACATGGCGTTGTTGGTTCTTGGGATATATTTCCATTTAAGAGAAGCATTTTATCACTATTAACAATAGAGGGCATATGATCATCAGAAGATATTGATTGATTTGAATTGGATACACCTGTACTTGCTTTAGTCAGATGGTTCATTCTGACAAAAGCAAGCATCACCATTTGATATTAAAACAATTACAAACGATGAAATATAAATATTTCAATTGATTTCTTATCAAATATCTTATATCCCCCAACGATATGATATACCTGACTTGAAAATAAATTAGTAAGACAGTAATACAACCTTGTATATAAAGACCAAGAAAAGCGTGGGTGAAATCAGTATATATATAGGTGAGCAAAATGTGTCGCGTGTGTCTCTGTCAAATAATAAATAGATCGTCTGATTAGTAAATAAATAAATAAATAAATCTAAAGAATAATATAATATGACGCTTATACCAAAGAACAGAAAAAGAAAAAAAAACAACAATATGATTCATGCATCTTTTCGCTTGCTAATAGTAACCGTAAAAATACATCAATTCTTTTTTTTTTATCTCACTTTTTTTTTCTCCTTATGTCTATACATAAAAAAAGAAAGGAATGATAAATAAAAGCAGTCAAGCGGTTAAAATATATCTAACTATCATTAGAAAAGATAATTCATGAGGTGACTGACTGATGTGACAAGAATAGCAAACTAGATAATTATATAGAGAACATCAAGATTTTGATAAATCCTTATAAATAGTATTAAATAAGGAAAAAGAAGCTTTCTTATACTATAAAGTTCTTTTTCCACTTAGAAAAATATGCTCAATAGTTGTCGTACTTTTATCAACTTGTAAAAATATACATACATAAATATATATATATATAGAAAAAAAAAAGAAGAATTGATTCCTGTTATAAACTCGCTTTTGTCTCGTCGACGACGACAACGTTCGTTTTTAACCCGATATTTTTCTGCAACAACAGCGCACACATACACAGAAAAAGAAGAAAAAAAATGCATTTGCCCTTGCGCGCCTTTCATCGTCCTTTACACACAACTAAATTGCAAAGAAAAAGCAAAAAAAAAGAAGATTGTGAGAAAAAGAATCATCAGTGTAGATAGCACGAGTATTCTCTTCTCCTTTAAAAAAAAAGCACATGAATAACCAAGGAGAGTATATTAATTGTTGTGTTTTTTCTTTTTCTTTCCACACACGTTGAGCAATACAACAAAACAGATGCTAAATATTCTTCCTAGAATTACAAATAGAATATCAAGTGACTTTTGTCTTGTTATCAGGTCTGATGAATATATTTAATAGGAAAATTAACACGAATTTATTGACATAAAATAAGATAATAACTAATATTATTCCTTTTTTCTTTCTTTTATGAACAATATAAAATATCAAGTTTTGAAAAAAAATGGGCATTCATAAGTTTTCTTTGTATTTTGAATTTTGCTTGAAAATAATAACCTTCATTTATGAATTCGAATGCTTAATTATACGTTATGACAAAAACCTTTTTTCTTTTCTTTCCTACTTTTCAGAACTGAAAAAAATAATATATACAATCTAGTTGTTGATTGGAGATTCTAGTTAACCAGTTAAAAATATACTTAAATGATTATGACATCTGTAAGAATACCATTTATATATCTTTAACTTCGAAAAATCTATTTATTTTATTGAATCAATATTCATCATCTTAAATTTAGATAGTATCGAATTTTATATTAAAAATATCAAGCTAAATAAAGATTTCTATCAAATTTTTAGTGTGACGATAATCATACATTAAATAATCGTCTATTAAAGACGAGCGTTATCACTTAGTCACGTATCTACATCATTAGTTTATAATCAAGAAAGAAAATATAAATAGTCTAATATATTCTATTTATGAAATCTTAATTATTAAAAATTTTCAATTAACATAAAAATAATCAATTGAAGTATTTATTCAATCTACCTTGCTATAAATATTTTGTAGACTTTTTTAAACGTCAAAAAAGAAACAATGCGGTCATCGTTGACTTCCCAAGAGTATAAATTAAATTTTTGAATTTAATTATATATATGTATATATCTTTTATTAGTTCAAAATCTGAAGAAACTAAACGATTGGAACAACGACGTAATCGATTTACTAATGAATCAACATCTACAATTAATAAACCAGTTAGTTTATTCTCTGTATTTATGAAAATTTTATATATAATCATATAGATAAAATCAATCAATGAACCGAATCAACCTTTAATTGGTACATGTGAAAAATTAGAAAAAAATTATCTACGTTTAACAAGTGTAAGTATAGCTTTTATAGACAACAGAATTTTATTCATTTTTTCTTAAGGCTCCTGATCCATCAACTATTCGACCATTAGCAATTCTTGAAAAATCTTTCTCTTTTGTTATAGATAAATATAAATCAAATAATGATTGGTCATATGTTAACAGTCAATTGAAAAGTATTCGACAAGATCTTATGGTACAAACCATACGGAATGATTTTACCGTATTAGTTTATGAAGAAAATGCTCGAATAGCACTTGAAATGGTAATTAGAAAAGAAAAACGTGAACATATTCTTTGAGTTTTTGCTATAAGAATAATTAGTTTTTAGAATGATCGTGAACAATTTATTCAATGTCAAACACAATTAGAAATTTTATACGAGAGTGGCTGTAATAATACTCATTTACAAGAATTTCTTATGTATCGTTTACTCTATTTGTTGTTACTTAATGATTATAAAAGTAATATTTAAAATTATTTATTCAGTTATTGATATTCTCTTATTTTTATTAGAAGTCAATAGAATTTTAATCGATATTGATCAAGTAACAAAATCAGACGATCTTAATATAACTTCGGAATTTTGTTCAGCATTTCGTCGGAAAAATTATAATCAATTATTTATTCTCTATAAACATTTACCAAGACTTGCTTGTTGTTTAGTAAATCTATTTATTGATATTTATCGTAAACAAATAATTGAAATTTTAATTTGGGCGTTTGTATTCACCATAAATAAAATTCGAAATTTGACTATTTGTTTTTGTTTCTTTTAAAGGTTTCTTCCAACATTTCCAATTGAAATTGTGACTACAATGTTAGTTTATAAATCCAATGAAATTTGTCAAGAACATCTTCATTCATTAGGTGTAAAATTCCTCGATAATACAATGTTAATTGATTGTAAAACAAGTCGAACTAGTTTTAACAAAAACTGAAAGAGATTAACAATTTTATTACGGTGTTAGATTGATTTATTAGTGTAATTTATCGATAAGATAATTTTTCATTTACATCAAGGACATCCAACATTTTTTTTTCTGCAACAAAAGAATTCTTAAGTTTTTTTTCTTGCATCATGTGGTTTTTAATATATTGATGTGTTTTAACGTTCCGATAAGAATTACTATTGAAATATAAAAAAAGAACCAGTGATATTTGTGATAAATATGAATCATTATGACTTGTTAATAATATTTATATTTTATTTCATATACCAGATGTACATTCTACGAAATTTTCCTTCGTTTTTTTAGCTATAATAATGTAGGAAGTTTTCTTTCTTTTTTTTTCTTCTTATGTTTTATCAGTGAAACCACTTGGATGGCGTGGGCACTGCAGTTTTATTGACATTGGCTCATATTTACCGGGAGAAAAGAAAAAGGCAAGAAAATAAAATAAAACGACAGTGGCAATCTCGTTCTTTAGTAGTTTATAAAAGAAATACTGACTATTTTTGAAAGTTTATGTTGACAATAACTTACTAATTTTCAATGAATTAATGTTCTCAATAAAAGTATCTATCTATTTAAATATTATATCTTTAATAATTGTTCTAAACAAATATCATGCTCATGGTTCATTTAAATTCAATGATGAAAATGATCTAATTATTGGTATTATAAAAAAAATTTCTTTTTTCATAAATGCTTCGTTTTTTTTTTTATTCAAAATTTAGATCCATTAGAATTAGTGCTCAATTCAACAGATAGTCAAGGAATCTTTTATTGTAATAGTCGTGTTGAACTAACGAAACAAAAAAATAAATTAACAGCTTCAATTAATCATCTAGGAGCAAATCCACCAACATTTCAATTCAAAACTGAACCATTCAATTCTACGACAATACGTATTGTTATTACACCAAACGGTTATATCGGTACTAGTCGTATTAGTTGTCATTGGGATAATAATATCACTTATGGTCAAACAGTCGATCTGATTATCGGAGGTAGGAGAATAAAAAAAGCACATTTTACAAAAAATATTTAAGGACAATTCTTTATCGAATTGTTTTCTTCAGTTGTGATTCACATTAGCATATTTCAACAATATATGAGATTCTGAATGTAAATTAAATTCGATGAATAGGATAGAAAATTGTTCGATACCTTTTTCCAGGTATTTTAGAGGTCACAGGGCCTGAAAATAATGAAAAGTTTTCTTTACAAATCTTTTTCTTTAGTCGTAAGTATGGCCCAGTCGGGATGCATCGTTTTTTTTTCTTTGAAAAAGAATGTTTTCATAGGTTGAAAGTAATACAAAAGGACAGACATTTGAAGAGTCGGCAAAATTTCTCCGAAATATTTCGTAAACTTGAAGAGTCGGAAGAGAAAAGTTCGTTTATTTTACACTCAACATTGCTCTTCGAAAACATTTTTCTTTATTGTTATTCTGAATCATTCTGTAGAGTTTACTTTATGATGTATTGAATGCGCATGGAAAGGATTATTTTGAAGGACTATTTCTATAACTTAATAATAAACGAGAAGCACAAAAGATGCCGTTTTAAAAATACATACATTTTTCTTTATTCAAAATATAAATTCTTAACCTCCATTTTGTTTTTCAAAAACAGTGCAAAATATCTTAGGCATACTTTTTATAGCACAGATAAATCATACTTCAATACATCTATAGAAATTACAATCCAAAAAAACCAACATTTTAACTTTGAAAATAAAATGTGTCCTTGAGCTTTACTTTTATGCATGAAACAAAAAATGAGATTCCTTTTCCTTTTCTTTTCTTTCATATAACATATACTTGATAAAAAAAACTATTGAAAGTGTCATTAAACTAAATATCATGTAGTTAATTTTATAAAATTTTCAAGAGATAGAGATGCTACTTTATATAAAACTTTTTTTTTATAGAAAAACCTGGTATTATTCAATTAAAAGAACCTTGTAAAGCATATGATTATCGTTATATTCAATGTATATTTAATTCACCTATAATTGCACGTGCATTTCGAAATGGTTTTCCACGACTTTATAAATTTTCTGAATTAAATAATGAGTATATATAATTATATATATATGAAATCTTGATTTATTTAATTTTTTTAAGTGAATTCTCTTATCGTCATCCAGCAAAATACGTTAATAATACTAATAATAAAACTTATAATAATGAACTTATCTTTCATTTTGAACCTCGAGATCAAAATGCAATTCCAAAGAAAACGTTAATGAATGTGAATATGTCAATAAGTCGTTTTGGTTCATCTGTGTATCAATTTTCTATTGAACCAGGTAAACAAAACTGTTTAGAATTATTTTTTATAAATAAAATTTTATTTCTAGTACATACAACTCTAGTGGATTTTGAACTAAAAGATATCTCATGTAAAAAATTAACGATTCAAATTAAGCATAATAATACTAGAGCGTTAAATGAACGCTTATGCTCGGGACATATACATCGAATAGATGATCAGAAAAAAATAAGTGCTATTCGGGTTAGATAAATTATGAATGTATTAATAATAAAATGGGAGATATATTTCTAGGATATTGCAGAAACATCAGATCAAACTATTTTAGTAGATCGTCTTCAATTATCAACAAAATATAGAATTTGTCTTCGTTGTTATTATAAACAAACTGATGAATCTTTTAAAGAAAAAACATGTGTTACAATAACAACAGGTATGTATTATTTTGAGAATATATTTTTATTTTAATTTGTCATGTAAAATTAGATGCATGTAATAGATGGGTATATGTAGTTGTTATTGCTGTCGGTGTACTTGTTCTTGTGATATCGAGTATTGTGTATGTATGAAGAAGAAGAAGAAGGAGGAAAACTATATTTATAATTTTCTTGTTAAAGATTTGTACTGAAATATTATCGTGGTCACAAACTATGCCCGGCTTCATCGATTCAGGGTTCACAACGTGTAAGTTTTTTTTCCCTATTTAGTTACAAAAAAATAAAGATTAATATTTTGAAATTAATCAATCACTTTCTAAATACGGAAAATAGTAACTTTTAAGGAATTTAAATCAAAACTGCATAGTATTTTCTCATATGAACGTTTTAAAAAATCATGATAAAAGGAGTTCTGTGATACAACTATAGAGTAATATATTTTATGTATTTAAATAGAAAGAAAAAGACTTTCATCATAATTATTTGCTTTTCAATGATTTTGACTTGGTTAAGAAGAAAAAAAAGTTTATAAATGAAAACTAACGATCATCAGTAAATTTTATTAGTGATAAATTGTGCAAAACGCTGAATTATAAATATATAAACATGTTTCTTCATTGATTAGGATCGTCGCGAGTCTGATACTGTTAGTATTCATACCATTCAACATAGTGAAGATGTAAATATCAGAAATAATCACTTGATTATATCTAATAATGTTTTCTTTTGAATTTCTAGGATCCGTCAATTTATCAACCATCAGAAAGCGAATATCAACCAGGAGGTCCCGAATATCGGCTACTGCATAGCGAATGTCTAACAGATGACAACAAATATCTACCAGTAGGCAGTGAATGTACAGGATTATTTCCAAATGAACATGATTTAGCAGAATACAATGAAGATGAATCGAAAGTCGGTAAAATTTCTAGGAAAAAAAAACGTGAATTTATCATATTATTATTATTTAGATGGATTTTATAGGACCAACGACAAGTATGCTTAACATTTCGCCAGATACAAGAGATTTGACAAACTCAAATAGCAAAAGTGAAATATCATACACATCATTATCTGATGGAAAATATTTCCAGCTCAAATGTTATTAGTTGATATAGAACGAAAAACAACCGGCGTGTGATTTGTTTTGACACTTCTTATTTATATGTGTATATGTTTGTTATTTTATGCATTCACGTTTTTTTTAATAACAATGCAAAAGAAAAATCAATTCAAAATCTGTAATCGATATAAATCATGCGAATGCACAGTAACAGTTTGACATATAAAGAATACATGGTCATATATAGGTGTATATTTACTAAAGCAAGTATTAATAACGAAAAACGCTCAAGTAGTGACAGCATAAAAAAAGAGAAAAAAATCAAACTGAATTCTTTTTTTTTGTATGGATTGATGTAAACTGTATGCCGGAAGAGAGAGGGTGAGAAAAATCGAACCAATCAAGAGTATTATTGATATAAACCTTAATATAATTCTACATATATTACAAACATTTTACATTTATATACGAATATTCATACGTATAAATATTCATATATACCAATGTTAATGTTAAAGGTGATCGTATTGCTTTTAATCATCTCATCGACTTGTAAGTTATATGATTTATTTCTTTTTTTGACCATGAATATAAATATGAACGATATATATAGTTGTTGATGCACGAGCACTTCGTAAACGACGTCAATTATCTTCATCAAGTTATTATATTTCAAATATAAATCCATATTCCAGTTCTTATAATCCATCAGTTCCATTAACATATCCATCAGGTTCATTTTATAGTGGTCCTAGTTATGGTTATGGTTATCCAAATCAAGGCACTAGTGGAGATCAATATTATAATACGAATTATTATGGTGCTGGATTAGGTCAATATAGTCCAACGTATTCATCTGGAATAGGTCAAACTTATCAATATCAAAATTTAGGTAGTACCTATGGAAGTGGATTAAATGGTTATGGACCTACTGGATTTAACAATCAATATGCCAATTGGAATCAAGGAAATAGTAATCAATATTATACAGGTGGAACAGGTAATGGACTAGTTAATACCGGTTATTATTGGAATCGAAAATCAGGAAATATACCCTTCCAAGGACCACCTATGGATAATAGGAATTTAATGGAACCAGATCCACGTGTATTTATTGAAAATTCACCACCAAATCGTCCTCCAGGCAAATGAATTACTCAACAACATTTATCTATGACATATTGATTTATTCCATTTTTACTTGCAAAAATTTACTTCATTTAAATGACAATGAACAAATAAACTGTGTATTTCCTTATTACGTTGTCAAAAGCTTTTTTTTATTCTTTTTTTTTTGAAGTTAAATTCAAATTCTTATTACTATCATTTAGTATAATTAGAAAAGACAAGAATTGTCTACTAGCTTAATTATTTTCTCGTTTAATTAGTAATCGATTCTTATCAATCATAAGAAAAGAAATAACATTCTTTCTCTTTTTACCAATAAAACACGATCATTACTTCAAACAACTCGATCATTCTATACAATCAATTTCATTCGTTTGCCTCGATTGAGAGACAAAAAAAAAGTTTTCATTCAACATAAAATAAGAAGCAATGACGAACGAATAAAAACTGTATAGACATATAAGGTCTACATAATTATGTTTATTATTACGGTTGCTTGTAGGCATTTGAAGGAGAAATAAAGCAAAGAAGGAGAAAGACCGATGAATAGTGGATGTATATTATTGACGGTATGCATAAAATGAAAAAAAGAATGACACAGGAAGGAAAAAAAA